ATTCTTACATTACAGAATACTTACAACAATTACTATACTAAACAAGTACAAGATTCTAATAATCAGACAAAGAATAATGTACATACTAATACAATGTATAAAGCTAATAAGTAGAGGAAATTCAATCTACTAAATCTATTCAATCTACTGAATCTGTTCAATCTAACAAAAGTAAAATGTTTCAATTGTAGAAAAACAGAACATTTCTCTAAGAAATACTACAAACCTTCTACTAAAGCTATAAAGCTTACCTGTGTCAAACATTAAGCTAACATTGTACATAAAACAAACCAAACTGTAGAAAACATAATGAACACATTTATTATTAAAAACCTAAACAAAAACAATATTAAATTAAAGGAAGGTAACATTAAAATGAATAATAATACTTATACTCTTATTCTAAGCAACCAGGACAAACAATTTAAACAATACACTTCCTAAGTATATACTACTGTATTTACAAATACAATCATAGCTAACAAGAAATCCTATACACAAATAATAGATTTACTCAATTCTAGTATATTAATATATACTACTCCTTATCTATTTTGATTAACAGATGTACACAACATAACTCCTACAATTGTAACTATTATAAATAGATCAACAATGACTCTTAATTGAGCTGGATCTATGTATATTAAAATCCTAAAGAATACACAAGAAAGAAGTATCATAACATTATAAAACATTTATTACTATCTACAAATGAACTTTTCCCTTATAAGTCAAGCACTACTATGTAGAGAAGGCTATTCTTTTATGTTTACAAATGATACTTGTACTATAACATTACTATGTAACAAATATGTCAAATATATACAATTAAGAAATAACTTGTATATTTTGTACAATAATCATTTGTTAAAAACAATGAACAAACTATCTATTTATAATATACATAAACACTTCAGACATATAAGTTACAATTATATTAAACAATTATTAAAAACACAACCAAGTGTACTATTAACTAAAATAATGAACTACAAAGAAAAAGAATGTATTAAATGTATAAAAGCAAATATTAAACATACACTAATACTAAAACTACATTAATCTCCTCTTACAAATCAATTTAGAGATCTTATTCATATTAATATTATCAGTCCTATCAAACTGTACACATATAAGAACATACACTACTTATTAACAATTGTAGACAATTCTACTCATTAGTACATAATGCTCAAATTACAAACAAAATCTGATACATATACACAATATGTATAATAGACAACTAAAATATTTACACAGTACAGAGTTAAAATAAAGCTTTTACAAAGTAATAACAATACTGTATTCCTTAGTAAAGATTTCTAACAATATTTAGATTCACAAGGAACAAAACAAAGATTAACAGTATATTATACTCTATAGTAGAAAAGAATAGTAGAACAAACTTATAAAACTATATTTAGAGGTGTAAGAGTATATCTAACATCTACTAAATTACTGTTTACATTATAGGCTGAAGTAACAATTCATATTACCTATATTCATAATAGAACACTGTGTACTATATTAAATTATAATACTCTACATTAAAAACATTACAGAACTTACAGAACAATTGATAATATACACAAATTTGGTCAATATATTATCATTTGTAACAAAAATCCTACAAAAATACAATAGTAAGGTATTATTACTTGTTAGATAGGATTAGACAATAAAAGTAAAGACTATAAAACTTAGTACAATAATAAAATCACTATTGAACAAAATATCCAATTTCTCAAAAGTAAACCTCCTCAAATTGAAGGAGAGAAAATAGACAATATAAACAATGATACAAACAAGTGTTTAATAATTAAAAATAACAAACAGACAATAGAATAACAAGAACAGACAACAATAGTATAAATAATACTGATTCTAATAAAAAAGGAAAAGTAGTAGAACTAATAGACTTAACAGACAACAAAGTTAAATTAACTAAAAAAGAAGTAGAACCTAAACTATATTGATTGGAACAGAAATGGAAACTAACAGAATGTACTATCAAGCTTGAACAACATATAGAGAATAAATGTATAACAAAATGTATGTACACACTTAGTAAAAAGGATAAAGATAATATTACTATTCATTTAACAGAATTTAATACTAAAATAAGTGAAATACAATTGGATCCAACTTCATTTTATAAAGCAATCTAATGTCTAGATTGTGATTCATAGATTACAGTTATGAAAGACAAAATAAAACAATTAGAAAATCATAATACATAGGAAATCACAAATTTATACAATAATATTAACATTATCAGAACACAATTTGTTTATAAATAAAGTAATATACTGACAATAGTATAGAAAAATACAAAGTACAATTAGTAGTTTAAGGAAACTATCAGATTGACAGTCTTGACTATTATATAGACAATTTATTTGCTCCTACTGTTAGACTATCTATAGTATAATTAATATTAGTATGAACAGTATCTAATAATTATCAAATACATTAGATAGACATAAAATTAGTATATCTATATAGACAATTGACAGAAGACAAAGAAATATATGTTAAACCTTCTCTAAGTAACTTAATACACAGATTACAGAATAGACAAATATTACAATTACAAAAAGCACTATACAGATTAAAACAAGCTGGTAGAAGATAGTATAAAACACTATCTAATATACTACTTAAATGTGGATTAACAAAATCCAAATATAATAATACTGTATTCTTTACAAAGAAGAAAGAAATAACTGTAACTATATTATTTATACATGTCAACAATATTACTATTGTAGTAATAAATAATAATACTATTACAATAATAAAACAATCTATTACACATTATTTACAATATACAGACAGTGGCAAATTACATTGGCTACTTAGTATAGAGATTCAATACAATAGAGAGTATAGATTCATTAGGATGTGTTAGACACATTATATTAATAGTATAATTGAATGTTACAAACTTACAAACAAACAAAGCATACAAACACTCATACAACCTGGTACACAATTAAAAACAGTATTACAAACTAATAACAATAGAAAACAAATGTCTAATATACTATATATGAACATAGTTAGTACACTTAGATACATTATAAACTGTATACAGTCAGATATAGTATTTGTAACAAATCAGTTAGCTAAATACCTTAATGACCCTGGTATAGAGTATTATCTAGCACTTAAACATTGTTACATGTACTTAAAAACTACAAACAATGTCTGGCTCCAACTTGGTAGTGCAAATCAATCAATATTAAACAGATATACAGACACAGACAGTATGATACAAGAAGGGTATTGTACAATATCAGGATATACATTTTACTTGAGTAATTCATTAGTTTTGTAGTCAAGTAAAAGACAAACACTGGTAGCAAATTCAATGTATGAAGCTGAATTAATAGCTCTTGTAAGAGGAACACAAGAAGTAATTACACTTACTCATTTAGCTAAAGAGATTCTGCAGGTCTCTGAAGCACTAATTAATATTTATTATAATAACAACACTGTTATATGAACAGTTACATTGGACAAACTCAAATACTCGGAACAGACAAAGCATTTAGATCATAAGAAAGATTTTATTAAATGCTATATTGAGTTAGAGTACATAAATGTGAAATACATACAGACAAATGATCAAAGAGCAGATATATTAACAAAAGCACTATATGTACTACAAGTCAAACATCTTACCAGTTTACTCAGACTAGTAAGAGTTTGAAGGGGAGTATCACAAGATGATGAGTTTATCACAAGATAATGACTTCATAATGTCTCAGTTAGAATACATACAATATAAGGACAAGAGACACTGAGCAGTCAATAGTCACCTTACCCCTTATTCTTGCATGCCTTCTCTGTTCACAGTATCCTAGTTAGGATTCAATATGTAAATTAACAATAAAGTTATATTCTTCATTTAGACCAGTTTATAGTATTGTACAATCAGTTTTAGGGCCAGGAAAACTCATATACATGAAATATAGGGAAAACTCACATATTGTGTTGTATCTTACTCAAATTTTGCTCATTTTTCTTTATTTTTTCTGGAATATGAAAGACACTTTAAAAGTATAATTTTTACAACTTAGATCATGTAATTTGGTTAAGTATTAGTTGAGTTATGATAGATTTTGTATTTGAGTATACTTAGTGTGACGAAAATCACAAATCACGCGTGTGACAATATTTATGAAAACGACAGTACTGTCGCGGCGCCCCTTGCGGTCAAGACCCACATGTGGACACTTTTACTATTTCTCCCTCAGATTTTGCTCAAACTTCATAAAATTTTATATTTATGTAGCTTAACATATAATAAATATATATCTGAAATTTTGAGACAAAAAAATGAGCAGAAAAAAAGTTATTATACTTACAATCCGAAGGGTATGAAAAATTACACTTTTGGAGTGAACCAGACTCTTTCCCACACAATGAATACACTATATTAATTCAAATTATTATTATTTTAAGCTGTAATTTTGTAAATATATGTATTGGTATGCTTTTTATTAGTGTTATTTTTTGTAGAAGTTTCTGTGGAGTTTTAAGTAAGTTATAAGAAAACTCGCTAATAGTATGATTTTAACAGATTAGAACATACAAATTCACTAATCTCTATCTTTATAATTTTTTATACACAATTCTACTTATAAGATTAGTTAAATAAAGTTAATATTTATGATTATAGATATAAGAAGTATATATTTACCAAAAATTGTAACTTAAAATTTATTACTTTAATTTATATTGAGTTATTATATTTACAACTATAAAAATTATGGTTATTATAAGTATTAGTATTAAAATAATTGTTATTATTATAAAAACATACGAATTAAGGTGCGTATATGTTTTTTAGTAATAGTAGTACTAATTGGTTACTATAGCAACGAAAAAGACGCACTGAAAAAATTACAGCAACACTTTCTTCTCTTCTCTTCTTTCTCCATCATTTCTACTTTTCTTGATCCCCCTTAACTTCTTTACTTCTACTTCTTATGGCTAGAAGATCTAGTCAATCATCTTCTTTATCTAAGGGTAAAGCCCTATTAGAGAAAGAAGCCAGGCTTAAACAAGCTATTTCTACTATTTTAAATTCTGAAACTTATTCAAACTCTACAAAATCTATTTCATCTATTCTTTCTGTTTCTAAAGAATTCAATGTCTCAAGGACAACTCTTAAAAGAAGGCTTGAAGGTATTGAAAGTAGATCTTTAGCCTTTTCTCATCTTCAGATTTTAAAACCTTCTCAAGAGAAAGTTCTTAAAGATTGGATTAAAGCTCTTGCAAAAAGAGCTATTCCTTTATCTAAAGATCTTGTTCAACAAAAAGCAGAGTTTATTGTTAAAAAAAAGGTTGGAAAGACATGGTATAAAAAGTTTTTATCCAGAAATCCTGATCTTAAACTTCTTTGGACATCTCCTCTTGAATCTTCTAGAGCTCAAGCTTTAAACTCTTTTACTGTAAAAAGTTTTTTTGATTTATTATTTGAAACTCTTACTTCTTATCATATTAAACCTTCTAATATTTACAATATGGATGAGAAAGGAGTTCAGATGGGATTGGCTGGAAAAACAAGGGTTTTGGTTGATAGAGATCAGAAAACTGTCTCTCAGATAGAGGATGGAAACAAGGAGTTGGTTACTATTGTTGAATGTATTTGTACAGATGGTACTGTTCTTAAGCCTCTTTTTATTATGAAAGGAGCTAGAACAAGTCCATCCTGGGGAATGAATAATCCTATTCATGCACAGTAAGTTTTCTTTTAATTATACTTATTAATTATAATACTAATATAATTTTTAGTATTGCTTCTTCTCAGAATGGATGGACTGACCAAGAGTTGGGTTCCTTATGGCTTGAAAAGGTTTTTCATCCTGAAAGCTTAAGGAAATTAGAGTCTCCAGATGAGTACAGATTATTAATCCTGGATGGACATAATTCCCATTGCTCTTTGAGGTTTCTTGGAATGGCTGAAGAGTATCATATTATTATTCTTTGCCTTCCTCCTCATACTACTCATATGCTTCAACCATGTGATGTAGGGGTCTTTAGTCCTTTATCTACATTTTATAAAAAGGAAGTTGCAGAATTGGCAAGACAAAATGTGTCAATTGGCAAGCATAATGTTATTAAAACATATGCTAATGCTAGAGAGAAAGCTTTTACTCCTAGTACTGTCCAAGCTGCTTTCCTTAAATGTGGAATCCATCCTTTCAATCCTGATACAATCCCTCCCTCTGCTTTTGAACCAGCTTTAGTCACAACTACTCAAGCAGCTCAGCCTGTTTGTACATCTGCACCACAGTTTATTAATGCAATCCCTGTTCAAACTGGTAAGAGACTACTTTATTTTATTAGTACTAATACTAATTTACATGTCAATCATGTTTTTGATGAAGTCGAAACAGAAGACTCTATCCAGTTCACTATGGTTCTACCAGACATTCCACCCCTACCATCACATTCAGCTACTAAGATTGAACTCTTTGAGCATATTCATGCACTAAGAGATCTTCTTAAAAAGTGTCAAGATCAAATGGGGGCTGACCATGCTCAAAAAGTTTTAATGGACAAGGAGAATGGTAAACTACACCAACAGTTGTACCAAAAAAAAAAAGACAAGGATAGGACGAGAGTACAAACAGTTGGTGCTAGGCTACTCACGGATCAAGTTCTACTCATTCGGAAACACGTTCGTAACCACCAGGAGCTATTTGGTGATGTTCACAAAGAACTCGTCATAAAAGCAGCTGAATTTCGAAAAAGAGTAGACGAAAGGGAAAAGAGGCAACAAAGAGAGGAGAAAGAAAGGGAAAAGGAAAGGGAGAAAGAGGAAAAGCGACAGGAGAGGGAGAGGGAGAGAGAGGAGAGGGAAAGGGAGAGGGAGAGGGAGAGGGAGAGGGAAGAGAAGAGGAAGGAGAGGGAGAGGGAGAGGGAGGAGAGGGAGAGGGAGAGGGAGAGGGAGAGGGAGAAGGAAGAGAAGAGGAGAGGGAGGGAGAGGGAGAAGGCACGGCGAGCAGCAGAAATGGAGCTGAAGAAGAAAAAGAAAGCTGAAGAAAGGGCTGCACCGAGTACAACTGACTTACCAAGGAAGCAACCAAGACCAAGGCCAGCCTACCGTACTCCCAACTCAGCCATTAATTCGGAGAGCGAGAAGGAGAACGTGCACACCAATAACTACCCACTACCCCTTCCTCAGACATGGAACTTCGTTGTCCAAACGGGCCCACACAGTGTCTTGACTGACGTCCATCATCAACATCAATCCATCTCTCAGGAACAGTCAAACGAGGTGTCAGCAAGTAGTGGAATTGTGATGGTAGAAGGAGCACAAGATTGCAGCGAAGGAGGAAGAGCTAAATCGACTTTGACGTGAGATGACGGAACGCTTGCGACTGCGCGAAGAGAGAGAGATCGCTGAGCAAACTTGATGACCCAGATATCAGGAGGAGAAGGATAGCAGAGCAGAGGAACAGCAGCGAATTCTGGAAGCAGAGGAGGAGGAGAACGAGAGGCAGAGGAGAGCAAGAACTAGACAGTGGAACATAGGCAAGAGACTCCAAGTCATTACGACGAGCCTGTTCCTGTAAAAAGAAGCATAAAATCTGTTAATAAATAGACTGTATATAATTAGATAAATCACTTACCTGTACCTCTACCCAGACGAGAGTAAATTGGTCTGGATAGGATTGAAGTCAAGTCTGCATACTGATTCTATGTGTGTGCAGATTTGTCTAAGTCTCCTTTCCCACGGGGTGTCCACATGTGGGTCTGACGCGTCGAAGCACAACTTTTGAATCATCATTTTATAAAATCAATAAAATATTAAAAGTAATTCAAGACCACCAGTAAACTCGACTTCGACCGAAACGTTCTCGTTGGCTGTCATGGCGCACGGGACAGAGCATGGATGAGAATAAAAGAGAGCACCACATTGGGCATTTCACAATTTCTTGCCTTAAAAAATAACTTACATAATGTTAATCATTATTTGTAATTTAATTTACCATTTCAGTTTAGTAGAAATTCAAAATAATATTTTAAGTTTTTTCTGTATTTGTATTACTGTCGCGGCGCCCCATGTGGTCAATTTAAGGCCATTTCTCATATTATTATCTACTACAACTGTTTTACAACATAAAAAAAATATAATTATATATTACAACATCTTATCTAAAAAACGTTGGTTTTATTTTTGTAAAAAATTAAGAAATACGGTAATAAGCGCTCACATATTGTCAGCGTGTCTGCCGCTGTCCCTGACCGCGTCGCCACCCCACTTATTTTGAGTGATTCGACTGAACCATCCAGTAACGCAGAAGTGGACGTAAAGCCCCTGGATGTCAATCATCTATTATGCTATCTGCGAGATACCTTATTGAAGGAAAGAGTAGAGCTGTTCATGGAAAACGAGACAATGTGAGGAATCCACGTTCATGTATGAGTTGGCCGTGCTGATGGATGTTCTTAGACGCCCCGGAATTCTCGTTCTTATAAATGATAGTGATTGGGCGCTAGAGGGTGAGGGAGATTATCAACTGAAGGAGGGAGATAAAATTGTATTCATCTCGACGCTGCATGGTGGTTAAGATGCAGCCGGCACGGGGCATTATACCGTCAGTTATTCTCGTTATCAAGTCTCCAGCATAGCACCTTGTTGATTTGTTTATCTCCTCTTCGGAAAGGCAAATGACTAAGCGTAAAGTGTTATGGTGTATCAAAGGCATTACAAGCATACGTCCTGTGTCAAATTCAAAGCTGGGCGATAAGGATATTTCTTCTAAACAGTAATTGTTCATCAGTGCGACTGATCCAATCGTATTGAGACTCGAATGTTCAAGTGACGACAATGTATCCCGCCTACTTATTCCTCGGAGCCGATGTATCTCCTTGCGTGTGAAGACATCCAATGGGACATGACTAAACCCATAGGAATGCTGCCTGTTCTTCCGTACAGGATCCGATGTTCTCTGGTGTCGTTATATGTTTTATTCTAATCTTAGAACGCGTTCTCTCGCCTATTCTGAGTTTAGCAGCAATCAAGGTTGTCACAGACCCCGAACTGCTATATTTACGTTTGCGATGCCTGAAAGACCTGATGTGCTGTACTCTACACGTGTCGTCATTTTCCGACACTCTTGCGGATCAAGTCGAATGTTCGGTTGTGTTTCTGGCACAATATCATATGTTCAAGTTCGGACAATTCAACTCCATCGTGCGGTCCATTGTGCACAGTTTCTCCGGTCAAGCACTGTCCAGATTGCATGTATCCTCCGAGCTTGTGCCTGACATGACACAATTGAAGTGCCCTCGTCGATGGGTTGCGAAGCTTGTAAGCAGCATATAAAAGCGAACTAGATTCGACCATACTGTTCAAGTCCTTCCCCTGGTCCCCACCTACAAGAACATGCACTCTGGTATACTGATCGCTCTCTGCTCCGCTGCTCTTGTCACTGCCCACGGTGGTGTGCTCCAGTACTCCTTTGGTGGTGACTGGTACAACGGGTAGGTCTACTTCTTCGTGCTCTAACGCATCGAGCACTGGGAATTGACGCGTTCTCAGTTTCGTACCATACAACACGCCAACGGGTCAGTCGACAATCCAACGCCAGTGGGCAACATACAAGTAAGGTCCATACAGTTACTTCCGAAGGCATATAATTGACGATGTATTATATTCAGTCCGATCACGGATCCGACAGACCCTACTATTGCCTGCAATGATCCGGGCACGACGACGGATCCCCAGCTTACCGCAACTGTCCCTGCTGGCACTTCAATTACTGCTTATTGGAATAACCCCTGGCCGCATGCTATAGGACCCATGATGATCTACATGGCCGTAAGCCTTTCTTAATGTGTAAGCTAAACGGACGCTGATAGTGGGTATTTGGAAGAATTGCGGGGGTGACTGCACTGATGCGGACCCCACTTCTCTCAACTGGTTCAAGATCGACGAGTCAGGTCTTCTCAATGGCACCGTCGCTGACGGCTTCTGGGGCTCTGGTTTGATGATTCAGCAGAATTCGTCATGGACCTCGACGATCCCGGCCGCCCTTCCAAATGGAAACTATATGATCCGGCATGAGACGCTTGCGATTCACACTGCGAACCAGCCGCAGTTTTATATGGAGTGTGCGCAGCTCACGATTACAGGTGGTGGAAGCGGAACACCTGTAAGTGAAGCCCGTTCTCGCCTTGAGAGCGGAAAGGTGATAGCGTTGCATTTATGTAGTCTCCAACTGTGAAGTTCCCGGGTGCATACAGTATGGATGACCCGTCCATCAACATAGATGTGTATTCATCTACTGCGACTACCTACGCGTAAGTGGGTTTCTCCCATTCTAATAACCTCCAACCTAACTAGGTGTTTGTTGTTTAGCATCCCCGGACCTTCTGTCTGGACTGGTTGAAGCTATCTGAGGTGGATGAAAAAGAGGACGAGCGCTGTTGTCGATGCATTCACAAACCCACGGACTGGTTAACTCTGTAAGAATTACTTGTACATTTTCAAGGATGTGCGAAAGTTGTTAGTTTGCCTGATTTTCCCTAAGGGCAGTTCGTATGTTTTGCAAGAGATGATGTAACGCTTAGGAACTTTCAAGTCTTCGAACGTCGTTGATATGACAATTTTGCCATACAATTGACTGGTCCGCTGTGTCATCTGCTGAACGCTCAGACGCAATATCGAAGGTGATGCCGTTTCCTGAATAGGACTACTAGACGACCAGTATGTGACAATGCAAATCCAGAAGTCCTCAGACACCGGAGTAGATTGTGTCCGAGTTGAAGTCATCACTTAGAAATCTCGTCTTTGCCCTACTCTCGATATAATTAGGTTATTGATGCCGTGCGGTTATCTGACCTACGGGACCGTCACTAGCCAGCGATACTTGCTCATCTCATATGGAACCAAGTAAAGTTGAAACTCCATCCAATTATTCCCGGTATATAGAACGTTAGCTGTTGCTGGTTTTGCAAGTCATATTTGCCAGTACACCGACACCATTAAATACGCCTCATGCACAATAATCCTGCCAGAAATTCTGCCCCACAGCACCAAGTGAGAGAAAAGATTTCGGTGTCTAAGCTTTCAGAAGGGCCCTATGTTCTCGGCACAGGGTGGAGTAAATGGTGTGCACCATTCACGTTAGTTTACGTACTAATTATTTTAAAGCGGAATATACAGAAAGCTGGCTTCGAGATCATTGCCGGGACGGTCACACATGTCAAAGACAACTAAGTTCCAGGTCTACATTTACATCAGGCGTTTCTCTCAATCACAATCAGTACATCTTCACAGTGAATGAATCATACAAGTCACTTGAATCACCAAGACCAGATTCCAGCTCTGCAAAACAAATATAAAGTTCCCCCCGGGCCGCCTAGTTGAGTGGTGGAATCATAATCTGATCAACAGACCAGACTCTTCCGCCTTCGCTGATAGACATTCCGGTAACCGCGGTTGGTTTCTGTCCTGTGACATTGTCTGTACCGTCGCCATAGACCTGTGACCCAACGACCGCGGTGGAGTTCCAAGACGAATCGGCCTCTTCAAGCTCGATGACGGTATTTGTATAAGTTTGCTGTGAGATAGTCATAGCGCAGAAATCGTCGCACTCCGTGGTCACACCGAACATCGTCATGGGTCCAGAAGACCATGAAATCTAGATGTAAAATAAGTGTAAGAATAATTATTCAGTAATGGATACCAAAGGCATATATATTGCTTTATCAACATGAGAGGATGATGGGCCCTGCAGAAGGAATGCTTACCTGAGTGACGGTCTCGCCATTGATTATGGAACTCTGTGTCCAACCGGACTTGTCAGCGTTGCGCTCAAAAACAAAGGTGACTGGCGTGTTCGCATCGAGGGGGACAAATGGGCCGAAGTTCGATTGACGGTCACTGAACACCTGGGGACGTATGCACCTATCACAATAAACCCACATACGCAAAATAAACAATCAACACTTCCCCTGGAGGCAACACGTATACAGAAGAAACGTACCATTGACCCAGTGTAGCTCCACACCAGGATTGGTCGGACCATGATTCGACTGACGTCATCAGAATATCACCAGTTCCTGACGCAACAAGTCAAGGCTAATCTTGCCAGGAACAAACATATTCTCTGTAGATCTTGGAAGCATACCATTAGACATTGCTGGATACAGGATCAACTCGCCAGCTTGGTCTGAAGGCGGGGTGCCGGGATTGAATGTCGTGGTGACTTTTGAGATGCTGGACGTCGAGCCTTGGCCGATAACCCAGCTTTTTCCGAGTCCATAAGTATAACCATGGACAGCAGAACAGACAGCAGCGATTGACAGAGACGCAAGCAGGAGCTTCATGGCGAAGAAGAGGCAGTAGCTTGGGATGTACAGCACAGGAGAAAGCGTTCTTATAACTTTGATGTCTGGTTCGATTGTCTTGGCCTTAGTGCATTGGGTCCATTAGACTGGTGTTTAGCGGGGGAGTCCGATCTCCGAGAGGGGCAGTTTCGGATCCGCTGGATCCAGATACTCAATAGCATGACGCGACAAGGCTGAGTACGATGTCGGCATGTGGACAGCGGACAAGAAAGGATGAGCGAGAAATAGCCCGTAGAAGATGCTCTGTGCAGGCTTTACGGAGATACGGCGTCGGCAGAAAAGCGTGACACGTCCCGGAGCAGCTGCGGGACGGCTTGCGTTTGAATGGGCGAAGAAAGAGCGGCGCTTGACGGAGCCAGCAGAGGATGGGAGTATGTTTAGGCAGGAGACAAAGGCCTGGTTCTGGGGCTGTACTTCGGTCTATCTTCGTGAGCAGACTGTGCTGGAGCATTATCTCAATCTTATCTGACTAGAGCGGCGAGGTGCTGCTAAGCTTAACGTTGTCGATGCCATTGCCATTGACGTGTCCGCACCAGATCAGTGGCTCACTGCTGCTCTTTTCTCCTTTTCTCCTTTTCTCCGACCAGTCACCAAACAAACATAAGGCTACGACTCTCGTTATTATGTAATTGTGGACAGTTTGTCAAAGTCAGTTTGAAATAATGGCTATTACCTAATATGGATATCTCGGAGTCCTCGCTGTGTGAAGCTTGAACAGCTTGTGCACGCATATAGGCACTTGTCGTTAGCTATCATCCACTCATCGGGATTCGGACTCCTTTGTTGCCGTACATTCAGAGCACAATAGAACCTACACAATGCCAGCACCGTCTCAGTTTCTCGGTTACGTCGACGCCAATGCGGAAAAGTTCATCAAGCGCCTCGCCGACGCAGTCGCTATTCCCAGGTCAGCCGTCGTGTCGCATGCATTGTGCAATTCTCATCGATGAACATTATACGCCATGCTCGCAGTGTGAGTGCAGATGCGAGCTATCGTCCACATGTATTCCGCATGGCAGAATTCCTCGCCAATGAGCTCAAGTCAGTAGGCTGCGAGGTCAAGGCCGTGCCGCTTGGGAAACAGGTCCTCGATGGCCAGGAGATCGACCTGCCTCCAGCTCTTTTGGCCTCGATTGGAAACGATCCGAGTAAGAAGACCATCCTTTGCTACGGTCACTTTGATGTTCAGCCTGTTAGCATTTCCTCGTTTAGCACGAGAACCTAGTACTAACGTGATGCTATGCATATCAGGCGCTGAAGAGCGACGGCTGGGACACCGAACCATTCCAATTGGTTGTTGATGAGAAGACGGGTCGGCTCATCGGACGCGGTTCGACTGATGATAAAGGCCCAGTGCTCGGTTGGGTTAACATCTTGCAGGCGCACAAGGAGCTGGGGATACCTCTTCCCGTGAATCTCAAATTCTGCTTTGAAGGGATGGAGGAGAATGGCTCGGAAGGTCTGGATGAGCTTATTGCACGCGAGGCTCTCAAGGGTGGGTTCTTCGACGGGGTTGAAGCAGTTTGTATAGTAAGTGGTGTTTCCATATTCTCTGGAAAAGCTGCAAAACGTCATGACATGGCGGATTGCAGTCGGATAACTATTGGCTCAATACGCGCACACCATGCTTGACATACGGCTTGCGCGGAATTTGTTATTATAAGCTCACCATCTCTGGGCCTGCACGGGACCTGCACTCGGGTGCATTTGGACGTACAGTACACGAACCTATGACCGACCTCATCGCCGTCCTAGGGAAGCTTGTAGCACCGAATGGCGACATACTCATCCCAGGCGTCAACGAGCTCGTTGCACCGCTTACGCAGGAGGAACGCAAACGCTACGAATCAATAGATTATGGAGTTCAGGATATTGAACAGAGTATTGGGGCGAAGATCGCGATTTCAGATGATAAGGCAGCAGTGTTGATGGGGAGGATGAGGTATCCTTCTCTTTCTATACACGGAATCGAGGGTGCATTCTCAGCACCTGGGGCGAAGACGGTTATTCCTGCAAGGGTCTCGGGCAAGTTTTCGATACGGTGCGTCTCGTTTTCATAGTATATCTAATTATAAGCCATGAACTAACCTTTATATATTTTCTCACCTTGCAGCCTTGTACCGGATCAGACTCCGGAGGCCATTGATCCATTCGTGTTTGGGTTTGTCAGGTCCGAGTTCGCAAAGCTTGGGAGTAAGAATACAATGAGCATTGAGAACTTGCACGGAGGCAAGCCGTGGGTCACTGACCCAAATCACTGGAATTACCTTGCTGCGATACGCGCGACTCAGGTGTCTTGCTAAAATCTCTCCATACTTTCATGTTTTTATCGTATGTACTGACTTTACTGATTTTACTTTAGGCTGTCTACAAGGTCCAACCAGATTTGACACGCGAGGGCGGATCGATACCTGTTACGCTGACCTTTGCAGAAAAACTTGGTGTAAATGTGCTGCTTCTGCCGATGGGAAGAGGGGATGATGGTGCTCAGTGCGTGTTCCATTATTCTCATTTCAGCGTTTCCCTAAGATGTTTTACATGCAACGCCATCGTAGTTCGACAAACGAGAAGCTTGATCGGTCGAATTACATCGAGGGCGTAAGTTTTGTGTTAGTCCTTTCAGAGTCTTCAACATTTAACGTCTTCTGTAGACCAAACTACTGGGATCGTACCTCTATGAGGTGGGAGAAATCAAGAAGACCTAAAGAGACATAATCATTTTGTGGATGATGTACAAGTTAAGAGGAGAAATTTTGTAAAATGTTTTAGCAATGCACCAGATATATTGTATTCTTCTCTTACAATATCACTGTACTCAAAAATAGCAGAGCAGTTTAATGCGTAGTACACCTGAAGCCTCTAAGACACATGTCCATGTAAGGCAAATAAGGAACTCTTCCGTCCCAAACATCTTTGAAACAAGCATCTCAGGACGTCGTAGTCGATTGAGAACCAGAGTTGTTATGAGACCTGCGCCCACCGTTTGCGCCCCCATTGCGTCGTCTATTGAAGCCTTTTTGAGCGGGATTTGTCGAAGCAGAAGTCTCTGACGAAGAGGTAGGAGGTCCACGCGGGTTACGAAGTATTGCAGTTGAGGTGGCCGATGGTAGAATGATAGGTTTCGATGTAGAACTTGTGTTCGAACCTGGAGTTGAAGCAGTTGATTTAATTCGGGTTTGGGTTGCCGGCAGATCGGAGAGTCTGTTAACGCCTTCGATTCCTGCTGATGGACCGTTGTTCGCAGAGCCGCTATTGACCGCCCCGCTCACAGTCGAATCAAGACCGAAGATACGCGCACGCGCAGCTTGATATTCAGCCTGTCTACCCTTCAGAGTCGCCGAACCCGGTCCCACATCCGCAAGCGACGGAGTCCCAGACGTTGATGAAGGAGCGGAAGGTCGTTTGAGGATACGTATGGGCTGCTGAAGCGCTGCAGCTGGTGGAAAGGCGGCGGCGCTGCTTCCAGAGGAGGCAGTGAGGATGACCTCAGGCATGGGTTGTCTTGCATCGCTAAAGGATAGTATATGTACGTGCTGCAATATGAGAAAGATGGAGAGATAGGACGTACGCATCCCGCCAGAGAGTGGCGTTATCTACCTCTCTTTCTAACTTGTCTTCATCATCACCTGCTTCGTCCTCATCATCGTCCCATGCATCGGGGACATGTTCCTTCCTTTTAGGCGTGGTGTTGTTCGAGCGCTTTGGAAGTGAGGCATATGAAGGCTACGCGAAACCAGTAATCAGCTTCATACATACAGAATACGTTAAATAGGAAGCTGGGACGGACGCTTGTGCTGGCATCGGCGACAGCCCAAGGATCTGCTGTGGTTTTGTGCTGTTGAGCATTGGAAGCCTTTGACATATGCTTTGTACCGCCGCTAAAGCGGCAAGGATATAAGTATGATGGGACGGTACAAGCAAGAGCTTGGGCTGTGCTCCTCCGCTTTATAGGCGGCATGTACATATGGGCGTCTGTTTCGTTGGTTCAAGTCACTCAAGCGCTCAATTGCATTGTAACACAGACAGAGAAGCTGAACAGTACTACTACTATGTAGTACGCGCCAAAAGCACGCTGTGCTGCAGTGTTATATAAAAAAGCTGGGGAAAAATGATGATTTTCGTAGTGCATTCGATTATTCTAAATACAGATCTATAATGTCGCGAGCCACCGAAGTCGTTTGCCAACACCCGACAAAAGGAAGAGACAGAAACGACACCCCTTAGAAGAGAGAGGAAGATGGTGCGTTGACACGATTGTTTTTGCACCACAAACCACTTCAGAGGCTGCGGTTGGATACGTGCCACTGCCTCTGTACACAGTGGTGCCATTGCCCCATAAGGGCCTAACTTTGAACTTCCAAGGCTGTATGTAATTTACGATAGAATAGCATGAAAGGAAGGAGATCAGAATAACCAATGTTGTGTGGTATGAGTTCGAGAGTAGTAAATGATCTGCGTATGGATTTTCTCAAATTCGTTATTTATAATTGTTATTCACCCACAGTACAATGCCTAGTACGTGTTAATATTAACACTGGTAAACTTTTAAGTTATTTCTTCATACGGCTCAGTACACTCTAAGGTTATTTGTCAATCGAGTTTTCATGCACAAACAATGATGGGAATCTGTGGGACATTTCTACAACTGCGTAAAACACACTGTGATGTCGGTCTAGGGACACGTGTTCTCGGTCTGTCTACGAAAAAAAAAGTCTACAAAGCAAAGACACAGCGAAGCAGAGGAGATAATAGCGCATAGAGGTTTCAATTTATGTTGCGGCACCACTATCCTGCTCTTCTGCAGCCTTTCTGGCAGCACGACGCGCGTCCTTCGCTGCCTTCGCTTTCGCCTTCTTCTCTTTCTCTTTCTCCGCCTTCTCGAGCGCTGCTGCCTCTTCCGCCCGTTTCTTCTCAGCCTCAGCCTCGGCCTGCTTCTTCTCTTCGTCCTCCGCGTTTCTTGCGCCCGGCTTCCCTTTACGCTTCTTCGCTTCTCGCGCCTCTTTCTCTTCCTGTTTGATTCGCCTGATGCGGGGATCGAGTGCCAGTGCAAGGTCTACGAGAGAACGTAAGCGTGCGTTGTCTTCTTTCTTCCGCCGGGCACGCTCCGATTTGTTCTTTTTCTCTGTGTATCGCTTGTCATCGCGACTTGAATGAATGGTTGGGTTTAAGCTGTCGAACTCTGTCGGCACGGAAGGATAGTACTTACTTGTCGCTTCCCTCATTCACTTCTTTGTCGAGATACTCAAAGCTTCTCCAGCTATCAAAGTTATACCAAAAGTCGTAAAAGCCTTCGACGTCTGCTTTAGGATCCTCCATCCCACCGAGCATCGGCACAGGGTGCTTCTTGCTGAATCGAGCTTCTCGTTCGAACACCGGTGCAAAGATTGTGAAGAAAGCATTCGGGTCACGGTCGATGGCTTTCTTTGAGTCTTTTTCTGTTGGAGCGTCCTCCTCGATCTCCATGTAATACGGGTCGACTGAGTCGAATTGGCGTCGACGTTCTGGGTTTGAGAGGACCTCAAGTGCTTTCTGGATACATTTGAAAAATGCATCATCATTTGAGTCTCCGGCAAGCCCAGCTTTTTTGTCCGGGTGATGTTTCAACACCTTTTTGCGATCTGGTACAAGGTATTTAAAGTGAGAAAGTCGTTTGTTGGATTAAAAGAAGTCGAGACTTGCGTGCGATCTTGATCTGTTCTTCTGTCGCCTTGTATCGGAGATGTGAGAGGCCGAGAACGGCGTAGTGATCTTGTTTCTGTGCACATAGAACAAGTCAGTACATCCGAAAAAAATTCTAGCAGAATAAGAGATGTCTGCACGCTAGAATGGCTACAAGGATACTAAATAAGAGAGGGTATTGCAATGCAGTGGCATTCACTCAAATAACTCGTCATATGCAAAACTGGGACGCCCAATATGAATTCCAGCATCATCGTCGAGCAGAGAAGATCTCGAGTTTGAACGGGTGGAAACTTGCAACTGACCTTCCATTCCTTTGGATCGAGCGCAAGAAGCTCTGGGGTCTCTTCTTCATCGCCTACACCTAAATCATCCTCGTTCGAAACTGCCTCCTCACTTCGTGCACGCTCGCGACGGGCTGCCTCATGTTTGTCATGTTCTTCGAAGGAGTGATTATGGATCGATCGACGGACATGGGCCAGATAAGCTGACCCAACTGGAAGCAGTTTTCGGGGTACAAGCTTGGAATTCACATTCGTAAAGATGGTTGTAGAAGATGAGGCAGCTAAAAGTTAGAACAAGGTGTGTTGAATTAGGCTCTTTTTAGGATCTTCTGATTATGAAGACATTGCGAGTCTGACAACATACATGGGATAGCTTGTCCTGCATTTTTTTGCTCCTGCGCCCAGTTTTGAGGGATTGGAGGCGCTACAATCGAGAGATTTATCACGGTGGCCATGATCAAGTCGTCTACACACACACACAGGTAGCGAGCAGCTTTCGACCTTCAAAATTCAAAATTGTTGCGCGTCTTGCTAGCCCATGTCACGACTGTGTGACATCAGTCTGATGACGTAATTTTGACGGAGTAACCGCACGTGGTCCGGCCAACGCCGACTTTTCACTACTCACTGAGTTACTCAATTAGTTTCAATACACATGAAACTGTACTACTGTGCATATCCCTTTCTCCTCAACTAGGTTTGCACGAAACCGCCTGTATCCGTCTTTGCCTCAAGTCAAGGCAAGGGTCTGATGCAGTATTATCTCGCGCAAAAGGACCTCGTACTTGTCTTAGCTCTTTACAGTCGTCGTTGCCATCAGCAAACATCCGAGCCTCCTCTACCGAGCATTCCCCCACATGCATCAAAGCTGCTCCCGCAATTTTCCATCAGCGCCAGTATTGTTTTTTGCTCGGGATGGCCATCCCGAGCGCGATAATTCCGCCTCTCGCAGTTCAGTTGTTCACAAGTATGCACCCAATCCACCTATTTGTCTACTTGTTCAGAGTTACTGTCTACGCTTTGGGATTTCTATTATTGGAACCGACGGAAAGTGGGAAATGAGCTGCGATATGATAAAATAAATAGGATACAATGGACACGTGGCCGCTTTAATTAACTGCTCTCATTGTCAGCTCGTCTAGACCATCCTTGTCGTTTGTTCGGACGGTTCCGAGAACTGTGCCTCTTTCCAGTCGGCGCATACTAATCAGCTGGTCGAATCCTACAGGTAACCAGTGCCGAGACGCCTCAACGCTCTCGTTTGTTTCAGAAAGTCCCTCTCGGTGCATCGGAATACGGGTGGGTTTGATGCAATGGCGACTCCTCATCGTCAAGTTGGCTGATGGCTCCATCCCAAGATCGAAGCACATTGCGGGACAGATCGCCTGTGGGTCACAATCGGTCCCTTTGAATGAAGTTCCAGCCGAGCAGTCCTCCGCCGAGGCAGCGTTGCAAGACGAAAGTGGCTACATTTTCCGCATGGCCCTGTGTACGAGCCTGAAGATCAGTACTCTCTCGCCCCGCTTGTGCCATCGATTGGATACCAACATGTTGATCCCCCTCCTTGAGCGTCGCTATCCTCTTGCGCCTGAAACGAAGCACCCCTGTGTCAAATCGGATGCAGCCCGTATCCATCCGCACACTCCATTCTGAAGAGGAATTTTTACTTCTTGTAGACCCTAGATCACTGCGGGCTTCCCGCCGGACAAGAATGGCCATCTGCCAGGACTTCCTTACCGTCTGTGGACTCACATTCTGGGCGCGAGGCAAGGGAAGCATGCCATGGGGCACCGGGCCCATTCAGATGTGGCATCCGTACCGAGCACCGGTTCTCATGTATAATTACCGGCGGCCTGTGAACGACAAACCTGTGCTCGAGTTGTGAGTCCGTCTTGCCTGGATGGGATTAGGGAATGCCTTGGGAGGAGGGCAGGAGTCATACGACACCATGACATAGCTTATCGGCCTGATCTTGGGCTGCCCCTCATACCCTTGATGTGTCTGTTTTTGTACGAATAAAAAAAATCAGTCAATTCTTCGCGATCCTGAGTGAACGTGCTGGCTGTATTTGCGGGTATTTGCTTAGATAAGCATGAGTATAAGCAGTGAGAGGAGCCGATACGCCTGTCCTCTCATTCCTTGCCTTTCCCCCCGAACATACTTAATGTCGATGGCCCGGACAGCATGAGTTCCCAATAACGACCACGGAGAGCGTTTCGGACGGTAGACTCTGCCAGCGAGTCCGGGGCGTCGCCTTTTCTTCATCACAACTATGGTACGCATCGTCTCTCTTCAGCAGCTAATACCCCGCGCTCTGTAGGGCGTCATCCCTAACTGACACTCATCGATCCCCCAGGTTTTCGTTAACGACAAGAAGTACGCGTGGTGAGCAGTTAATGCGCACCGTATCCGCTGGTCTTTCTCTTAAGTTCTCTTACTTTGCAGCGAGACGTGCATCAAGGGGCATCGATCCTCAACGTGCAACCACACCGAGCGCCCCCTGTTCGAAATCAAGAAGAAAGGCCGCCCCATCACTCAGTGCGAGCATTGCAGAGAACTTAGGAAGACGAAACAAGTGCATGTCAAGTGTCTATGTGAGGGGAGAGACGATCCCGACGCCATATCTCATAGTATCCCAGCAAAGAAAGGCAAGTTGCGACTCGATTGTTCCATCGCCTCTCGCAGTCATTAACGTGGCTCGCTTGTGTCTAGCCAATCGCAAAGGGCCTACACCAAGTGCCGCGTTCCCGTTTGGCCTCCACGGCGGGTCTGCACCAGCATCAGATTCGGAGGATGTGTCCTCGCGTGGACCGAACAAGTCGAAGGCTGTCCAGAGAAGTCCGCGAATCTCACTGCCCCCTCGCATTGAGCGGGATTGCTAATGTGTCTTGAGTATAGATGTTGGCTTACCACCGTGTACATGCAAGAAGGGTGGATCATGTAGCTGCTGTACGCCCCGCCATGCGCCGCGTGCGAAACGCAGCGCAACCCCACCAACATCGCGTCCAAAGATCGGCGATATTCGGGCAACGGCGCCAACGCTGCACCGTCCATCGTCCGACCCCGGTGACGCACACGAGCTGTCGCAGCGGCTTCTTCATATTGAGCCAGAACAACATGCTCTTATTCACGGACACGGAGCGCGTTTAACACACGGTTCAGTTCTGTTTAATCCGTACGGCCATGCTCATGATGCTCATCTTCGAGCCCACGACATGCGTGGCCACGAAGCTGCAGTGGCAGCTAGCCTCGATGCATCGAACGGGTATATCTATCCAGTTCCACCAATATCATATGACCAGCAGCAGACCTTTGGTACACGTTCCGAATCATCTCCGGCGTGGCCAAATGGCGAAAGGCTCTTAGACGACGTCAACAACGTGGCTACTGCCTACGACACGCAGGATTCTGCAAGTCACTATGGAGCTCTCGATTTTGGCCCCGTCGATGTCGATGCATGGCTCCGCGAGATTATGGCGTCCAATAGCAATTCCTCTCCCAGAGAAACTGACATCTCGTCTGCAAACTCTTCCGCAAATTTTACCTATACCGAACCTCGCCACGACCAACCCCAAGCTCTTCGTGTTCCTCAGTCTCTTGACGTATCTCGAGACCTAGCCCAGGCGCAAGATCCTGAGTTCGCCACAGCACCCAACCAGTTTGATCTTCAGCCGCGGCTAGGGAACCTTGACCTCGACTATAATGACGCCTATCTGAGTGGTAGTGACCAGGACGTTGGAGACGTCAATGGAATGAACTCTACTACAGACATGTTTGAATCCGAACTCTTCAATTATGCACCCGCTGCGGCAGCAGCGGCAGTTTCTTCGGCTCAAGAAAGTGCGTCAGAATTGGTTGGCACTTCTACCGATCCGTTCTCCAGCTCCGCTCCCCCGATGCTCACAATCCAACAGTGTGGCAATGGCGAATTCCGTTTCGCGCCGTCCGCGGTCCCGGAGCCTAAGCTGCAAGAGTATGCATTTGACTATCTCTCGACTGTGGTTGATGCGGATTATGTTGCACGGCCTAACCCTGGCCTTCCCGCCTTGACGCGTTCCTCCTCCATTGGATCGCATTCTAGTGGCCGATCACGGTCAAGTCTAGGCATGAGTTACTGGGCACAGAATAGCAGCAGTGATAACGTTAATGCGAATTCTAGCGTTAGCGACCAGTGGCACAGCACAGAGGATAACACCAGCTGTCATAACGTTGGCTCGGCAGAAGGCTCATGGGCATTACCTGCATTCCCCTCTGTCACGGAGACTGCTCGCGGATGGCCCGCGTCTCGTGTTCAGCCGTTTGCACCGGAGCGTGGTCGTACTCCTAGTGTCGCTGTCCTCAGTGCATCGCTACCCAGTTCAAAAGATGTTTCACCTACTTCTGCTGTTGCCGAGGCGCACCCTTCTTTGTCATTTAACTAATTTCAAATCACGTCCGAATCGAAAATTTGTACCTCTGTTTTATCTATTTTTCTGTGTTGTGTTGTTGACCTTTTGCACGCTTTGTGCGTAAATTCTATACCCCGCACTGCGGACACTCACTCTCGCTTTTTTTCTCTTTATCGTATATTTCTCCTCATCCTCTTCGCTCTCCTCTCTCTCCTCTGCATCGTCATCTTTTACCTCTATGCCTCCTCTAACCTCTATTTCTCCTCCTCGTCCTCTCCTCTTGTTCCTCCTAATTGCGCAGGAGCGTACTTACGGGCATGTGCGCTGGACTGTGCACTGAACTCCCTCTTCCTCTTCCCTTTTATCCATCCTCAGCTTCATTACAGAGTTTTATAAAATTCCCTGCTGCTTTCATCATTGCACAGAGATTTTCTGTTGGCATGTATACACTGTCCCCAGCACTCTTATACTCTTACTTTCCCCCCATCCTTCCGGGTGTTTTCTTCTTCGTGAATGCTAGTCATTTTTCTTGTCCTTCTCCCCCATTTGAGCTGTTCATCTCGGAGACTTCTTTACTTCGCTTCGTGCGTAGCCTTTTGATTGGTTGGTTGGTCGTTTCTTGTCAAAGAGACTGGACGAAAGGAATGAAAGATAACTTATTACTCGCTTGCGACTGTGATTGTGTCAGCCATGGAACGAAGAAAGTGAACAGTGAATGGATAAGAAACCAAGGTGGGACATAGGTCTCATCGGCGTGGAACCTTGCAGTGTATTCAGTTATACGAGTACAAGTAGTTGTACTAACGCGGGGGGAGGGGAGGGGGGGAGAGACTTGAAAACGTGCAAAGGGGGTTCAGTAGTGATGAATTGTGAATTGTAAGGTGTTTGAGAAATACGCCAGGGAAGTATTACTCTCTATTTGCGGTGAATTTAAACAATTTTCTATTTAGCGTGAGTGGTGCGATGTGGTGAGTATGATATGCATTTCGTGAAACGCAGAAACCAAGACGAAGGACGTCGAAAACCAAACAATCTCCTCTACGAATACTTCTCCATAAACTCCCTATGGAACTTCTCCAACTTACCAATATACTCCTCCACACCCGCACATAAACAAGTCAACCTAAAGTTCGCTTCGTCCCCGCGTTGACCGAACCCGCTTCCTGACACTGCACAGATACCCGTAGCATCCAACAACGCCAATGCATAAAAGGTATCGGCTTTCTTTCCGGCTTTGTGTGCGGCGGCGATGGCGTTCGCGGGGAGGGAGACGCGCGGGTAGAGGTATAAAGCCCCTGAGGCACTTTGGCAGGACATTCCGGGAAGGGCGTTAAGTTTCTCCACCATCGTGCGGGTACGATGTGCTAGTGCAGCATGTATCGCATCTGTCTCCTTTTTCCAAAGTGCGTAAGAAGGGGATCCCGGTTGTGGGGGTCGGACCATACAATCTACAGCAATCTGTCCTGGGACGGGAGGACAGAGTCCGACAGAAGCCATTTTGTATATTTCGGAAATAATGGATGACGGGACGTTGACGAGTTCGAAGTAACCTCCTCGTCGACCGCATTCGCCCGTTACACCCTTTGAGGTACTGTGGAACGAGGCGAGGGCGACATCAATCTTTGGGTCTGACTTGGTCATCTCGCAAAGGATTTTCTTGAAGGAGGTAAAGGGCGTTGAGTCGCGGTAATGTAAGTTCTCCTGGTAGACTTCGTCCGCGAAAAGCACGAGACCGTGCTCGTTGCAGATGGAGACAAGTTCGCGTTGGACGGCAGATGTGAGGAGTGAACCCGTTGGGTTTCCTGGGTTGATTACAACCAAGGCTCTCACGTCAATCCCCTCTGACTGAGCCTTGGAGAGAGCTTCGCGTATGTGCTGGGGAGACGTAGACCAACCAGATTCCTCATCGAGGTGGTAAGGGACAGGAACGCCTGAGTATTGAGCGAGCGTAGCAGTGTAAAGAGGGTATTGTGGGATAGGAATGAGCACTCCGGATTTGTTGGGTTTTGCGATGAGCATGCTAAGGAGTAGGGAGACACCAGCAGAAGCACCGGCGGTGAGGAAGATGTGGTCTGGGTTGGACGGGAAGCCGTCACGTGCTAATTATAGAACCATGTCAGGGGGAGATTTTAACAAGTGCTGATATAGCTGGCACGCACCTGCAATGAAGTTGGCAACATTCTGTCGGATGGGAGGGATACCTTGACTGTGCGAATAGGCGCCAATGGAGCCCACTTCTTCTAGCAGCTCCTTTGCGCGCTCGATGGCGTCTTCTGGGAAGAGGTTCCGTGCTTTCTCGATGAGCTCGGGATATTCTGTTAGCGCAGCGATCTTAGACGTTGGTTAGCAAGTCAGTTTACCTCAACGTAGAGACAATGGGGAGGAAAAGACGGATGGAGATACAAGTATACATGATTAATGTTCGGCAAGTACGCCCGACGAGGCAAGAACAAACACATTAGAAGACTTACCTGACGATTCCAAGTGATCGGGGGCTGGTCAAGACCCTTCTGCTGAGGGTTTCCGATGTTGCTCGAGATGACACGGTCGAAGGGTAAGCCATGGTTGGGTTTCTGAAGGCGAACACGATACTCCTCTGCCTTGATGGCGAGTTCACCGCGGACAGCGTATTCGACGTTGCGGATAGCAGGGTTAAGGGAGTCGATTGTGAGTGTGCGCATGGTGGGAACGTGTGGGGGTGGACTGTGGGCGCGAAGAAGACTTAATGCGGGGGTGCGGGGTTGTGAGAAGAATGGGAGGATGCGGCGGGAGAGGGGCAGGCGGGACAAACGGCGGAGGACCATTCCGGGACGTGAGTGTCAACAGCTGGGCGTCTCAAAGGGAGCGTCGATCAGCCAAATAAGGACTCGTCCATTCCGTTCCTTACACAAAATCTGTTGCACCGACACTACCTGTCTTAAACCCGTCATCTGACTGTGTGCAAGCATCACGTCATCCTTTTCCCGTCACGTATGCCTGTTCCGTCTCGGCGTAGATCGAGTATGTCCGAAGAATCTCCCCTGTGCCAATCCACCATGCACTTCTTCGCTGTTCTAATTCTTGGAATACAAGAAATTCGGAAGGGAAACCCACAGAAATATAGTAGTATTTAGGAGAGCCACATGGTTCAATCTGCACCACCCTTCTCCCTTCTGCCGCTTTTCTACTTCTGACCCTCGAACCTACCATTGTTTCAATATCCAATGATCCATACGGGTTGAAGTAAACGCGTCTTCATCGCAATATACGCCGAATTAAATTTAAGAACTAAGCGATCAAAGTATCTTGATTCCTTTGTACCGTATTACTACACAATTACAAGTTCTTTTCTCCCAACATACCAATGATGATTAGAACTACATGTAATAAACACTACCATGAATGACTGTCCAAATAAAAAAAAGTAACCAAACAATGTCTATGGATTCGCGCACGTTCGAATGAGTGTGAACATTTTTGGTTTGGTGAAGTCCGATTAGAAGTCCACAGATCGGAGCCAAGGCGAACAATCAAAAAAGAAAAAAAAGTCCTATGACCAAGTCCGTTGTGCAAACGTTTTTAAGCAACGTTCACCGTTACGTTGGCTACTTCAGAGAACAAGAAAGGACCCGCCTGTAATTTTTCAAAATAGACGAATGATGGTCAGTAAATCAAGCCCAAATCTGGCGCAGTAATAATACAGTCGCTACTCACCCCAACCAAATTTGCATGTGCAACACTTAGCACTGCTGGTCCTGGCTGGAAGCCGTCAGGTATTGTTACGGTGAAGTTCTGGACAGGCTCCCCGAAGAAGCCTGGACCACGCTGAGGGTTGAAGCTGCCTGAGTATAGGATGGAACCCATCTGTTCCGAAGCATCTTCACAGGGTGATTGTGTGCAGTGGTGTATGAGGATGCTGACACCTATTTCTGTGGAGCCGGTCAATGTGTCCTATAGCAGGAGTGATTTAGAACAAGGTCATAACAAGGAATTTAACGAAAGATAAAGAAGACGTACACCCTTCAGGACGGAGACTGAAGTGTCTTTCCCTCCGGTGAGTGTTTGGCCTGCACTAGGTGCACCGATAGAAATTCGTTGTGCAAGGGCAGCACCGGCAAGGGAAAGGAGGACAGTGAAGGCACGCATTGTAGAAAAAGTATTTGAGAGTAGGATGGAGGATACTGAGAATACGCTGTAGTAGGTGGGGTAGTGGAATGTAGGAGGATCCTGACTATTGGACCCAGCCGAGCCGATGACTTTATACTTTTCTAACGGCCTACTAATTTGACGCTCTGCAGGGAAGGCAGTGCGTGAGCGTGTGTGCCTCATTATGCGAGTTGCCGGCAAGTCGGAGTTGAGGGAGATTTGACGATCCGCGAGAGGCGGCGGCAAGATGGACTGTGATGGACTCGGAAGCATTGATGGCGTCAGTTTGGGTGATTGAGAAGAGATCAGCACGGCCAATATTAGCCTTCCTCCTCTGCAATAAAACATAGCGCCTCGACATGAAGAGTCATTCATTGGTTGGAGACTAGCAAAATGGCTGCTGTGCAACAATGGACCTTGTGGATTGCGGGCCGCTGAGTCGTATGTTGAGTGTTTCCGCGCCCGCCGTGAAACATCGGCTGATGACGGCTGCTGCAGCATCGGTGAACGTCGCCCGAAAGATGGAGAAGAGGAGCCTCGAAGACTCTCGAACAGAAGCCGCTCTGGGTAATGCATAATTATAGCTCATCTGATATTATGTCATGACGTTACTTCCTGATTCGGACTCTAGGATTGGATTGAACATCGCCAGGTCTCTTGCTCCCACTCCTTCCTCCCACTCCTGAGCACCCAGACTGCTTCTGGACGCAATGCCCAGTCCTTGAACAGTCCTTCTGCAATTGATTCAGGTGTGCCGCTCCACCCCGTTGCAAACCTTCCAATACACGTCCGTGTCCCGCGCGGCGAACCTGGTGCTGTGACTTCAAAGCAACAAAGTTGGTGTACTTGGTTTGCTAACGCGGAATTCGGGGTTTTACGTACTTTCAATGCGCGCCATTTTTGTTTTCATGGACTCTCGTCCTTCGACTCGCCAATTCAAGCCATGACTGTCAAATACTGAAGAAGGAGCTCTGCCGTTATGGGCAAGAAACGAATGGAAAGTTGCCACTTACGGATTTGTAGCCTCTCTGTATACGGCGTTTCCGTGTCATGGAGCCTTTTGAGGGCATCTGTATGGCGGTGCAAGTATTCCGAGAGCGTTCGTGCGATGGTGTCGTGCCCTTCTCTAGACCACCGAACATAACGCACGATGGGGTCAACTCGGTCATTGACTCGATCCTTCTTAGCAACTAAAATATAAAAATACGTATCCCTATTGTTCGGACGAACTATGTTCTGCTTTAAAAAAGGCGTTACTCACTTTCAATGCATTCTCGTGACTGCCAGGTTGTAAGGTGAAGCGTCCACTCGGATTCTGTGTCTTTTTCAAGTACTAGGAAAGACAGCTGTCAACGTTTCTACATAGACTATATTGCCAAGAAAGGAAGCTCACAGGAGCGAAGTTGCTTGACGTGTTCTGATTCGGGCTCGGGGTTCGGATTGGCTTCCTGCTCAGGTTGCACTTGGTCATTTGGTGCCTGCTCCTGTTCCTGTCTACTAGACTGTCCATGTGCAATTTGGGCATCAGTGTAAAACGCCGAAATTGACCAACTATCTTCTTCTCCATCAACTTCCAAATCCAATTCTATGTATCTGCTTTCAATGGAAGGTCGATAGTCCGTGCTCGTTACATTCGTCCCTTGGTCTAGTGGAGGACCTAGTTCTGCCTCGTTTCTTTCGCCCACTTCGAATCCGAGTTCGCTGATACGGTCAGACGGCGCAACACTAGTATTCGTGCTAGGTCGTTGAGACTCCGGCTCGCTACTCGATGTGCATGGCGACTGCGGTGACTTAGGATGGTCCTGTCGTAGCCACCGACCGAATAGCTTATACAAATCGCTCGTTCGCTGCTTTGTCGAAGCCAGATTCAAGTGGTGTCTCTTGCGATCCAGAAAAGGGTACTTTCCCCCCTTATTCGAACATCAGAGCGCCACTACCTCTTCGATTTTAATTATCAAAAAATTACGGAGGTAGAGCAAGGGCTTCATTGCTTGCCTGTGCTCGCAAATCTTCAGGGTGCTTGTGTACTCTTATCTATTTTAGGCATGGACCATGATTTGCAGCGACAATGGGGGTAATGGCTGTAGGCGATATAAAAGGAATTAACGCGTGGTCTATACAATCCAGGTCCAAACACGTTATCCCGCGAAGGGAAGCGATGCGGCATGTTCGAAGCCGTGTGGCGTCCTCGATTGGCTTTACTGAATTTGGCACTTGGGATTGAATGTTAGTTTCATGAAGACGAAAGTTGTGTTGAAAAGTCTTGACTCCTTGTGGCGACTCTGAACTGGTAGTTTGATGCGTTGATGTGATGATGCATTGACGAATCGGTTGGAGAGGATGTCCGGTTTGGAAAGGCAATGCGAGATGAAACAGCCGGGTTCTTACATCCGATCGTCCTCATCATGTCATACATGACGAGGTTCTTCCATCGTCGGAGGCGTGGTGGCGCAATTTCGCTCCCACCTGACTCAGAAGAGGGACAGCAGGGGCGTTGATTCTGTGTTTACCATGGCAAAGTACTGTATGGGCTTACTTATAATGTGATACTTCTTTCTGTGTCTGTTGCCATCTATGTATGTACGGTAACAAACTCACGTGGGTAAAAGGCAATCTGCAAAGTAATAGGCATGGTCAAACCTCGCGATTCTCTGTGCGATTCACCTTGCGATTCTAGAGGGTGAATTGCAAGGTGAATTGCGCGTGCAGGTTTGACCAGCACACTTGTACATGTGTGATTCACCTCAATATACTGACCCTTGATCTTAAAATTACATAATATAAAATTAAAGAAATAGTTTTTTTTGTGCATATACATTTGGCCATGTCAAGAAGGACTTGATATGTGTGCAGTGATGTGCAAGAAGATGACAGAGCTTGGTAGCAGAGAACACAAGGATTTTTTGCAGAACAGAGGACAGTATGTATGCTGTAGTGCTCACGAGGAAGAGGCAAATCATCTTATTGTTTTTGGAATTTAGAGGTGAAAAGAAGCTTAGTTTTATTTTTGTAATACATGTACATATTTGGAAATAGATATGAGTAGAGGTGAATCGCAGGGGTGAATCGCAAGGCGAAACGCGTCAAAGTGCGATTCACCTTTCAGCGCGATTCACCCCGAATCGCTGGGGTTCCGGGGTCCGCAATTCACTTTGCATGAAAGTGAATCGCGCAGGTGAATCGCGCACTGAATCGCGAGGTTTGACCACGATTATAGTACTCATAAGTGCTCTTCTTTAATATACCCGGCTGGGGATGCACCGCAGCAGACTGCGACTAAGTACTCGTAATATATTTACATCGCAATGTTGTGAAAACAATAGCTGTTATCTGCGGAGATACACGCATAAGAAATAATCCGAATTCAGATACAAAGTGACAAGAGGAGATTTGGAGCAAGGGTTAGATGCGCAGGACACATACCGAGACAGGGGCGCTCTTTGGTGTCTCTTGCCACACGCTAAGCGCTAGCCAGGCTGCGCCTACAGTCCAAACAATATCGCGCCTCCATGCGATGAAGAAGGCACCGAGAACATTGAGAACGAAGAATACACCAAAGCCTTCCCATGCGTAGCTATTGTAGGCCTTTGTATCACCCTGTTCCCAGTAATGACCAACGGCAATGCTGGAAGGAGGAAGAGCGCATTAGCAACATGGCACCCGTCGATGGCATGTATCACCATGATAGAATGATACGCACAAGAGTGAGATAGGAAAAAGTACAGTCAGGGGGAGGATGAGGAAGAGTCGAATTGGTGCATGTATGAATGCTGCGTCGAGTGGACGAGCAAGGGCGATCGGGTGATACACGTTCAGTACAATGTTAGAGTAGAGCAAGAGAATGATAAGTATTCCCAAAAGGATTGAGGAAATGATGAACGCCTTGAGAGACTATGGAAAAAGAGAGAATTTTGGTCAGATTCAGACGAAGTGCAGGCTGGTGTGAAATGCTGCCTACCCATGCGATAGCCCAGAAACCCAAGACCCAGTTTGCAAGAACAAGGGAAATGCCAGTACCTTTGATGAGTGCTTGCTGAAGTGGTATTAGTATGGCTCCCAGCTAGTGCGAAGTGAGGAGGATGCAGAACATGTACCTTGGTCTCGGTCTTGCGTGCAAGGACAAGGATAATGCAATACCCGATTTGCATGATATACACTGCGGCGATGTATGTTCCTATAAGCGACGGTTTCGGAGTCAGTGAGGTCGGGTACATTCGTGCAATCTCCCCTATTGGATTCCACATTGTTAGTAGAATACGAAGAGTTCTGCGTCAGATGCGCTAAGCATTCTACGATTCGGAGGCAATCGTACCTAGGCTAGGGGATAAAGTGAACGTGCAAACACAGACTGCGGCTATGTTGATAAGGAGCGAAAGCGGAGTGAGGACCTGCAACCTAGACATACCCGCCCGCGAATGTGCAGAAAGGAACTGAGTCTCAGGTGAAATACGTACATGTGGCGATAGGAAGACTTACCGAGTGAGCATGAGGAAGTCGCGCACGGCGGGATTGCTCGTGTCAATAGGTAGGTCTGGCATTTTCGCTGATGCTGATGCTAATAGTTTCGAGGGGCAGATGAGTGCAGGAGGCAAAGTACTACTAGTACTACCACAACTGGTGTGCCAGGCTAGGACGACTACTACTAATACTATGACGCAACGACGACGCGCCGATCGGTCTACCCTGCCTGATCCGTCACCTTCCATCAATGCGGTCTCTTTCAATAATCATTACTGTAAGCCTTATGCTTTTCTCCCGCGCTGTGCAGCCAGAAATACACTTGCTGATTCTCTACAGTGCATACATTCTCATAACGATATCAAGGATGACCAGTGTCAAAATCTGCATCATGCAACAACCATCTCGTCCCTTTTCTCCTCGACATCCTCATCCACGATCGACATCGCTGACATCGACCTCCTCGACGCCCCGCCTTCGTCCTCGGGAAACGATCCAGGCATAGATGCCGCCCTGAGTATCGGAGAAGGTGCGTACGTAGATCGGAGATTTGCAGCTGTATCTGGCGCAATGTTGTCGAGCACACTCAGGAAGTTGTCATTGTCTGCCTTTGCGTTGTTCTGCGTGGACCAATATTAAGAAAGAAATAATCAGCATGCATAATATGCGAAAGTACAAACCTTGAGGAAAGTAGGCCAGCGCGATTTAAGGTCGACTTCGTCTGTTTCTCGGCTGTAGATAAGCATGTACGGCCCAGCGCCGAGATGCAAGCCCGTCGTATCGGTGAGCACTACCTCTTCGGATACCTGTGGAAGTGGTAGGTATCAGAAGGTAAGCCGTTGACTCGGTTGATGATGAGTCGTACCTCAGCTACGGTAGCGTCCTGACACTTCCACCATCTTCCACCATGTTGTACAAATGAATGTACATGGGACCGACCGAAAAGGCCGTCGTGAACAAGCACTGCACGTAAGTCATACTGCATAAATGCGATGGAAGTCAAATAACACTATGTTAAATAAAGCAACAAATCGTACACGATGCCTCTGTAACGAAGGGTCATCAAAGACCTTCTCGATTTTCTCCTGCAAGTTCGAGATCTGCGCGTCAAGTGCTTCAAGGGCTTAATCAGGACGGGAGAACATATTCGTAAACAACTGGACGCACTCTGTATTTCGGTATTCATTCTGCTAATAATCTTTTGCAGACGTGTGGCTGCAGATTTCACGTCCTCAGCACGAGATGGAGAATTATCTTTCGCTGCTACGTTTTCGAAGTAGTATAGGGCGGAACTGAGTGATTTTCGTGTATCTTTGCCCTACATAAACGTCAATTAGAACATGGTTGCACATAAGTATGGTAAATAAGCAGAGACGAACTTGCCTCAAATTGGATTAACGCATCCTTCTTTGATGTTAATTCCTGAAGCTGCTGCTCCATGTCCCTTCTCAAAGTACGTTTATCAGAAGCTAGTGTGGCATTTTGTAGCAAGAACTGGTCAAGATAGACGTGCGAGGGATATCTGAACGGAGTAGAGCTGGTGGAAGATTGTTGCGCTTGGACCTGGCCAAGGGATTGAGCAGATCGAATCACTTCAAATGCAATTACATCTGAAGGAGCTATTAGGGCTTGACGCGGTGAATTAAAAGCGGAGTTAATCCTGGTATCTGGAGATAGAGGGGTCGCTAGACCGAGCTGACTTGATAAGCATGACAGGAGATCGTTAGGTTTGTTTGGACCTCTGAGATCGACACGGACGCATGCGGTCTCTGAACCACCCTTTGAGGGTGCGAATCGAGCACTCTCGATCCCAGGAGCATTCGCGTCTGTGGCTAGACCAGTGGGTGATCGGGCGTCTATTGGTGCATAGCGGAGGTGGAACAGGCTGTGGTACCATTTAATTGGTCAGTGATCGCTTTCCGGAAAATCGATCAGAACGGACCGCTCCCAACCCTGTGAGTTATCTACTCGTAACTGATCTTCAATAGACCTTGCAACATAGGAATAGAACTCTAGGAAGGTAGCCCAGGTTAGATCCCTAAAAACGTATCGCAAAAGAATGCATTGTTTACCATTAGATAATTCCCCCAGGAGGTCAGAAGCGGTAGTAGCAAGTCTGCCCTTGTAATTTGCCACAATATTTAGACCATCAATTGATATATACGAAGGAAGAGCAAGGTCCGTATAAGTGAATATAGTACTGATGGCATAGGGTAAATACTCTGTAGATTGTAAGTTACGGACTGCCTAGCATCGAGATAACAAAGTCATGTACCTGGAGAATCTGAACCAGGCTGTCTCCCGCTTTCGTTTCCTGTCCATCGCCATAGCGCGATGCGTTGGCGAACCTGAGGAACATGGAATAATGCTTGCAGGACGAGTGTCACAAAATAGTACTCATTGTAGCCCGTACGCAAAGCTAACGGACTTGGGGGACATATTAAAGTCTGAAAGAAGTAATGCAGAAACTGTGCTCACTGCCCAGGCTTTCTGACTCTCTCTTCATCCGGTAAGTCTTCATACTTGTCTTCAATGTAACTGGTACTCAGGCTCGCTTCGATTGCTCTGCTAAGGGACTGGTCTTCCTGTTCCTGCACGGTGGTAGTCGGGACCTAACTCGACAACAAGTTAGCCCACATATAAGATCCTGGTGAAAGTGACATACGTTTGAGGGAACCATTGCCCAATTCGGGTCGGGAGCTCTATCACTTGGACGAAAGGTACTCTCATTTTGGCCATCAGACTGCGTCTGCTCAAGAGACATTTGAAGTGCGCGTGAAAGATCTGGATCGGTCTCTGCAGTCAAGTCTATTACATCCTTGCCACCGTGCGCATTTCTTTCCGGTGTATGAGGTGTATTTGGACGACGAGGCACATTGAGTGCACCGCTCATACTTGTAGTTGACTCGAATGGATCAGTTGATTCCCATGCTGTTGGAACCTCTTCACCACGGTCGCCTGCGAGGATTGCGTCCGCGGCTGTTTGGATGTCATTGTTGTGTTTTGCGAGCACCCGACGCGCGACGTCCGCGTCGAGATCGTTACCCATCATGCTTATCAGCATCTTGACGTCTTCTTCGTTCTGCATTCTGCATAAGCTCGTCGACGAGATGCTAATGCTGACGGGTCGTCAATATACGGGGACGACAATTGATGAGAATTAATGTTGCTGAGAGGACAATTGCGCTGTTTGACGGTCAGAGTTGCACAGATCAAGTGCAAATGGCATCACGTGCTCAATAGACGTTATTCCATAAACCCACAGATGATTTACTGGAGACGACTATGAAAAGAGGGAGAATAAAGATATAACCAATAAGTGCAAAACTATTTGCCCCTTTCTTCATTGGCATTATTCAGATGCTCATTTACTTGTTCGTTCTCCTGAACACCCTCGCGTACCTTGCGTTTCTCCTCCTGTTCAACATGCACATCTTCGCCTTCAAGCTCTCTCCAGAGATTCGGGTTCTTCATCTTTACTCCCATCCTGCTTTTCATCATTCCAACATAGCCAACCTCACTGACTCCCCGTACTACTTTATCCGCACGTTGTTTCCACACCGGCATTGTTGCAAGGACATGTGCTGGTGGCCTCTTCCGGCTTCTCTCGATTGTGCATCTGAGTACTTCTCCTCGACGCTCCCGTTCGCGCTCTCGGGTCTTATTCCTGATCTTCTCGCGCCGTGCTTCCTTGATTGCTTTGAGCATCTCCGGTGGATAGGGTGTAAGTGCACGTTGCGCTGCACGAGTAATACTCTCGCGAATCGTTGTGCGTTCGTCGAAGATGGCACGGTCTAAAGGGGGGTACAGCGTAAGAATGCTTTCTGTGAGTTGTCAGGTACACTCACTCCATTCGAGATTGTCCTCGAATACCGGGGCAAATGCAACCGGACTTCCAGATCTGCGTTCTTGTACTAGCAATCCCTCCTCAAATCGTTTCTCGAGCCAAAGATCGTTACGGTTCTCGTGAAGCTGCTCATATCTGGGCCCGATGCGTCCGTATTGAAGCCTCCTATGTCGTATCATCATAGAAATGCGCGCGGGCTGCGGTTTTAGTCGCGGTAAGGGACCATTCAGTACCGACGGACGAAAAAACGCGCCAGTCATTATGGGCCGGGTGCGAAGACGCTCTTGCCATGCCTTATTTGAGACATTAATAATACAATAAAGGCAATCAAGTGGTTATCGACGCACCATTTGTTCCAATATCATACTCTTCATTTCTTCTTTAGCTCGTTTTGCGGCAATCATCGAGTCATAGCGCCTTAAAACATGCTGCAGCCTTTTATCACCCTCCGTAGCGGAGCGAAAGGAATCAAGGTACTACATGACGTTTTAGAAAAGGGAGATGCTGCTTTTGAACGAGTACCCTATACCTTGTAAGCCAAAAGCAGTTTTTCGCGGGTGGCCTTGGGGCTTGTCCAGCATTTGTATTGGTCAAAGAACATGCGCATGCGCCACCTAATCTTCATTGAACGTTCAAAGATCTCCCAGTGATCTAGTACAATGGGACGTACATTACTTCCGGGAGCGTGCTTCATTATTCCACGGTATAATGTCCATAAGGTAGGGATACGATGAGCGGCGAGCCTCCAGAACGGCACGCATGGTCGGACACGCCTAAGAGCAGAAAACTGCTTCGAGAGCTCTGCTCTACGCTGAAGCACGCTCGCCAAGGGTTGGTATGCTCCTTGCATTTCAGGACGAAATGCTTAACGTCTGCAAAACGGCAAATCGCAATTACAATTTACATTTACAACTGTCAACTGGAACCAGGAATTCAGTGCAAGTCAGTCACGTGCGTATAATTTTATTATATTTTTTTAAGTCAGGGTCTCGTGACCGCGCCGAATGCCAAATTGCCAATTCTTAGTGTAAGCAGGCTGGTGCTGTTCAAGTAGGCCCTGGCATGGTAACCATCCGCGCGTACCGCGATCCATACTGTGGTTTTTTCTTACCGCGGTAAACCACCGTACCGTGCCAATCTTCGAGTACCACTGTAGAATATAACTATTCTTTTTTCTACTTAATTCTCAGTTGATAATCTTATTGTTTCACATTAAATATAAGTATATACAATATAATTGTTTCATTTAGTAATAAATAAAGACATTATTAGGGTATATATTTTAAATTTCTACAATGAAAGTCCTCCAAATCAGTGTGAAAAAAGTAAGGAATGGTTGATTAAGACATCTTTTGTCTAATTATTTCAATTGCATGATCAATAGTAGGAAATAAAGGAGTTCCATCCCAAGAACCAACAGCCATTTTAGCTTTGAAAGTGTTTGAAGAAGTAGAATGTTGTATAAAATTAAGTTGACACCTTCCAACAGAGAATGCTCTTTCTGTATCAACTGAGGTAGCTATAACAAAGAAATAGATAAGACTCTTAAATATATAAGGAAAATATAACAGAAAGTAAAGCTTACCAGGAGCAGAGCAAAAGTCTATTCCCATCCAAGCTACACTAGGCTGATATGCCTCTACAGAATACTAGTATTGTATAACTCCACCTGAAGACTGAATAGTTGATGTAGAGACTCAAGGTTCAGACAAATAAGCTTGTATTGTATCACATGGACCTTCATCAATAGTCTTACACTGAGTGAGATAGTGTGAATGAGACTAAAAATATATTAGACATATATTATATAATACATCAT